TTAGAATTAGTGAGAATAATTCAACTAATTGGTTTTTAATAAATATATACAGGTACATCAACAACAAAGACAGTGTGGTATATTTCAAAGAATGTTGGAATAGGAATAAGATCTGAGTTTTTCCCCAGTCATCTGCTTGTTTGACTATGGGCAAACCTCAACTTTCTCATCAACAGATAACTCCCTTCCAAACTACCATAAATCTACCATCTGTAGATAAGCAAGGACCAATGTTGCACTGACCATATATGAGGCAATTCTAAATTCCCATCACTAGAACAGTGGCTTGGCATATATAATATTTATCAAATATTTATTTAGGGACTGCTGTATTCCAGACCTCTCAGGCACTGGGGATATTAAGATGACTAAGACATGATCCCTAATCTCTAAGAGTCTAATAGAGCCAAGAGATCTATAAACAATAATAATACTGTGTGAAAAATATTATAAGAATGTACAGAAGACTTGAAAGTACAGGCAAATAGAAAAATTAATACTACTTGAATTATCAAGGAAGACATCACTAGAAAGTGGTATACTAGCTATGTCCTAAAGAAGGAGTACTCTATTCGCATAGAATAGGGACCAGCATGAAAAAAGGCATAAAGATGTGAGAGAATACTGTATACTTAGAGAGAGTACATGATGGGATACTGTTGAAGCAGGCTGTAGGCGGAAGGGGAAACTTCTATGAGAATTTACAACTGCAAACTTGAACCACAGGTGATTATGGTGTTCTAATACATACTACACACATAAACCAAGAACCCTCAAGCCTAGAAATTAACATACAAATTGTTTTGAGCCAGTGTAGTAGATGATGGCTCCCCAAAGTTGTCGATGTCCTAATCCCCAGAAGCTTTCTTATATGGCAAAATGGACTTCGCTAACATGAATAAATAAAGTATCCTGAGATGGGAGGAATATCCTATGGTATCCAGGTAGGCCCCAATGTAAACACAAGGTTCCTTATGAGGGAGGCAAGAAGGTCAAGGGCAGAAAAACAAGGTAGCATGATAGAGGGTGAAGTGAGGCTCTTGAAGACGGAAGAAGGGGCCATGAGCCAAGGAATGAGGTGGCCTCTAGAAGCTGAAAAAGATAAGGAAACAGATGCTCCCCTGAATCCTCCAAAAGGAATGTAGCATTGCTTGCCTACAACTTGATTTCAGACCTGTAAGATTCATTTCATACTTCTGACCTGCAGAACTGTAAAAGAATAAATTTGTGTTGTGTTAAGCTACTACATTTGTGGTAATTTGTTACAGCAGCAATAGGAACTAATATGGTCAGTAATAGCACTGGCTGACCAGGCAAAAGTAAATGCAAAACCACTTAGTACGAACATACCCCCTCAAACAGGTCACACAGCATTTCCACAGATAAAGCCCCGCTAAAGAAAAACTGGAAATTTTAGGGAAAGGAAATAAGAAAAAGTACTGACCCTGAAGATGGAGAGAAAATGACAAACAGCAGTATTAAACCTCAAAGAACTTCACATAAAATACTTCACACGTTTTTAAAAAACATGAATTGAAACACAAAGAAAGAACATGATGGCTTTAAAAAATAACCCAACAGGACTTCTAGAAATGAAAGTCATTGAAGAAAATGATAGCTAGGATAAATAGAAAATTAGACTCATCTAAAGACAGAGTTACTGAACTAGAGGTCTGCAAACATTTTCTATAAAGGGCCAGATAGTAAATTTTTAGGCTTTGCAGACCACACAGTTTTTGTTGCAACTACTTAACTCTTTGACTTTGTAGTGTGAAAGCAGCCATAGTCAATATGTAAACATGTATATCTATAAGTATATAATAAGCATGGTTGTGTTCCAATATGACTTTATTTGAAAAAAAAACAAGTGGCTGACCTGTGGGCCATAGTTGCTAACCCCAGAACAAGAAGATAAAGCTGAGAAAACTACTCAGAATGCTGTATCAAAAGGTAAAAAGATGAAAAATATGAAAGTGACATTAAAAGGCATAAAGGATAGAATGAAAAGGTGCAATTTATAAGAGAATTTCCAAAAGAAAGAAGAGAGATGTCTGAAGAAACAGTTGAGGGTTTTCCCACCAACAAAAGGCATAAGTCATCTGATTTCAAGAAACAAAACAATTTTTGAACAGTATAAATAGAAATAAAATCCACATCTTGACAGATAAGAGAAAGACTATGTAACTATAAAGACAAACAGAAGAATATCAAAGCAATCAGAAAATAAAAAAGAGAATTCACCTACCAAAGAACAACATTTCTCAACAACAACAAACAACAGTATTGTTAGAGTAATGTAAGTTAACATTTACTAAGGGCTTACTAAGTTTCAGGCACTGTTATAAATCCATTACATTGATTATTTTATTTAATCCAATAAACAATCTTATAAATTACTATTATAATGCACTTTATATCAAGAAACTGAGTTACAGAAAGATTAAGTAATTTGTCAAAGGTTACATACCTAGCAAGTGAAGAAACCAGGACTTAAACCCAGGTATTCTAGCTTAAAAGCCCATACACAACTTCCCAGTTGGAGCCAAAGCACGGGAAGTTGGTTGAAATGTAAAAGGTACCACTGCTATGTAAAGTAGTAAGGCAGTTCCTCAAAAAATTAAAAATAGAATTACTATATCAATTCTGGGTATATATCTAAAAGAACTGAAAGCAGGATCTTGACAATATATTTGCACATCCATGTTCATAGCAGCATTATTCACTATAGTCAAGAGGTGGAAGCGAGTCAAATGTTTATAAACAGATGAATAAATATAGTATATACATACAATGGAATATTATTCAGCCTTAAAAAGGAAAGAAATTCTGACACATGATACAAAATTGATAAGCCTTGAGGACATTATACTGACTGAAATAAGCCAATCACAAAAAGACAAATAACGTATGATTCCAATTATATGAGGAATCTAGAGAAGTAAAATTCATGGAGACAGAAAGTAGAATGGTAGTTGCCAGGGCTGGGGGGAAGAGGAATGGAGAGTTATTGTTTAATGGGCATAGAGTTCAGGTTTGTAATATCAAAAGTCCTGGAGATCTGCTACACAACAATATGAATATACTTAACACTACTCAACTGTATACACTTAGAAATAGTTAAGATGGCAAATTTTATGTTATGTGTTCTTTTTACCACAATTTAAAAGTTATTTTTTAAAAAAGATATACTCCAATAAAGATGTTAAAAAAAAAAGCATGGTAAGGCATGTCCGTGGAAGAGAGACATACGGTACTATTGTAGATGTAAAGCAGAAATGAAAGGGCTAGGGAAGACTGAATCTAACTATGAAGAACCATAAATGCTAAAATGAACAAAAATGAGAAAATATTTAAACCTGGCTCAGAGCAGGAAAACATTCTATAAATCAATACCTAGATGTATCTAAACTCTCAAAAGCTACCAAGCCTGAGGCTCTAAAATTGAAAAGTTTTGTCACTTTGAAATACTATGTATTAAGGTATAAGTTCTTAACATTATCAAGTCTTTCTAACTCATTCATTGTTTACCAAAATTAGATTTAGCTTCTTATATTCCTAATCAAAATTTACTTTGTAATATCAGTAAACCCTATGTGATTTATAAAATATTCTTCATTGTGTGAAGATCTCAGGTTTCAGAATAAGAAAACACAAAATAAATTTGCATTTAAACTTAGACATGCACTAGCTGGGTAAAGTTAGAAAAATTACTTAACCTCTCTATGCCTCACATCCCACCCCCATGTGCTAAATTGGGATAACACCACTCTCCTCACTCAGCTGTGATGAGAGTTAAATTATATAACGTGCAAAGAAACTTATATGGGAAGTAGCTTACAGTGTGAGCACAACAAATAACTTTGGGAAATTTAAGACTTTATTTTCAATTTTAGGTTAATTAACATTATTAGAAATAAATTTGAATTTACGTTCTTATTAAGCCTTTTTAAAGCACACTGGTCCAGTAACTCAGCTTTCAAGGCAGCAAGTTTTTCAGCATGTGAATCCATATGTCAAAAAGACTGAATTAAGACATTAACACAGCAGTTACACATATGATAGTGAAAGAGAATTCCAAGAGCAGGACTTGAGAAAAGAAACTAATTTAATTTAGAAATTTCATCCAATAACTGAGGAGTTATGCTTTGAAAATAAATTTAGAAAGGGTAAATGAACTAATACCACTTTTGGATTCCTACATATTTACAATGGGATAATATATGAGAAGGCACTGTGAACTAAAACAAATCGTTATTCTTAGTATTCTGACATTCTGAAAAACTTGCAGTTACTATCAAACAGAAAATATAAAGTCATTATTTCTTGTTTCCTTTCTACTCCTATTTAATGAACAATTAAAGGGCCAAAATACAACGGTCAAAAGCACTAAATAGACAGGCAAAAAGTTAAGGGTTTGTTTCAGGAGGAAGCAGGAAGGGAAAGATTTATGCTTTATCTTAAACTTGAATTTTCCATTAACTTCCTTTTTATCATCACATTTAAGGAAAAAGGGGAAAACAAAATTCTAGATATTCTAGATTTTTCTAATAGTTTAAATTTTGATGAATTTTAAGAAAACCACATACTCTTATCAGCCGAATTTTTCAACAATCAAATACAAAGCCTAAAATACAACAGCATATACAGGTTTTACACACCCACACATGTATATAATTAAAAGGTCAGGTGTGAGGTTTCCAAGCCTCTTGGAGAATTATCATTTAAAAAAACAAAATCACTCATGTGAAAAATAAAATTATGGTACATTTGGTTTATCCTCAAAGGAAACAGAACACTATTTCACAGAGTATAATAGTAAAACCTGTACATTATATATTTCACATGTTTTTGGTGAAAATTAAACAATTCCAATTATTTTCCTAACTTAAAAAGTTTATATAGGGTGTATATATATGTACACAAACACGTGTGTATATTTAAATTTTAATTTTGTATAGAGGTATTTAGGAAGTATCAAATGCTACCATTGACAAACTTACGAATCAACATGCAGAACCCTCTGGCCACTTCTTGAACATGCAGCCGCAATGATGGATTCAGGCAAACCTATAAAAACATACACCTATATCATTTAGAATGTAGAAATATATATATATATATATATATATATATATAAAACACAAAAAATATTCATGCCATTGCTGTATAGAAGAGTTTAACAAAAGAGGCTCATTCTTGTATTCAAAATTATAGTTTGTATTATTATGCTGTTGAATGATGTTTCTTAAACATATACTACTAATACTGAAAATTTTATCATGTGGAAGAGAGGTTTTTAAAAATCAAGTACTTAAATTCTTTTTATCTACCAATTACCATAAATGAGCAACTGTCAAAATATTGTTCATATAGCACTTTGTTATTTAGAAAATATGTTCACACACTAGCTCATCTGATTCTCCCAAATGCACTGAGAGAGAAGGATCTGCATACACATTTTAGAGATGAAGAAGAAACTAGGGTGCAAATTGGTTAACTTGCTGCCCAATGCTTTACAAAAAATAAAAAAGTTCTAGAGTTGAAATTTTAACCCAAATCTTAACTCCAAGCCACAGTGCCTCTTTGGGGGAATGGCATACATTTTTCAGTTTAAGCAATAGCTTAACTAATTTAAAAAGAGGCCATTTACATGATATATTATTTTACTTCTGGTTAATACAGCAGTTTGATAAGAATATTACTGTTTGGGAATTAAATTAAGCCACACCATAAAGTTTGTCATCATAAAAGGAAATATATATATATATATTACTACTACCAGTACCAAAAAAAACTTACTAAAGATAACAATTTTATAATAAAAAATTCAGATGTTCAGCTACATCAGCTAGTTAATACTCTATGTTGTAAATTTAAGACTCTTCCATAACTTTTTATCATAAGAGCTACCATTTCAACAGAGGCTATTAAATCTTTTATATCAGTCCGATGAACAAAGCATGTTTTGAAAGTTTAGTGCTGCTACTGTTTCACTACAATGAGATACCACGGTCCTCTTGGAATTTTACCTAGTAGAAAAGAAATAGCATTATTTTGGCAAGGGTTTAAACTACACACTAAGCATCAAGGATTTCAAGAAAAGAGAATGATTATCTTCTTTATGTAAAAAGCAATATGCATATGGAAGCAACTTATGTAGTCAATCTGTAGTTAAAACCACATTAAACAAAAGATTCAGCTGCATTCATGGAAGAACTAGAGTTTTCTAGTGGTGAACACTTTGTGGGTATAAAATGTTTGGTTCAAAAAGGAAGTTCTGACCAAATGTACTGAATATAGCCATTATATATCAATTATTGGAAATAAGCCATCATAAAGTTGCAACCTTAACTTTGGATATAACACACAGGAAAAAAATTTGTGGTATAGGAGGAAATAGAAGGAAGAAAGGAAAATTCTAAATAGTTAAGCATACTTAGTTCTTCAAACGGTTAAAACTGTATTGTTCTAATGTCTTTTATCTTAAGACTATCTGAACTTTTTATATCTAAAAAATAACTTTCCTTATTAATGAAATTCAGTCACTATGGTACTGCAAAAGCTGCTAAGTGGCTTTAAAAGGACAATAGCAAAGAAATATTCAGGAAGCAGGATTAGTAGTATGTTTACATGTGTAATAATGATAGCATTAATAATACATCACCAAACATCAGTACAGGGCTTTATGATTCACAATGCATTTTCATATACATCATCTCATTTATTCCTCATTATAATTCTGGGAAGCAGGCAGTATAATCCATGCGAAAAAAATGGGATGAGAAATGTTAAATAACTTGCCAAAGATCAAGTAATTCAGTAATTCGGCATCACAAATTCAAATTACCATGGTAAATTCACTCTCTCCAACTTGGACAAAAGTCTGAGAATGAGGATGTAAGGGCAGGATAGCAACATAATGAAACGGGCATGGTCCCAGTCAGACAGCGCTAAGTTTGAATCTTAGTTTTGCTGCTTAACTAGCTATGAGATCTTAGGCAAGTCACTTGACTTCTCTTAGCTTTTGTTTCTTCATCCATCAATGGGAATACCACCATCTACCTCGTAGGGTTGTTCGGTTGTTAGCAGAGGGTACTTGCTCTATAAAGAATACCTACTTTTATTTTCTTCAGAAAGATATTTTAGAAGCACTACATTTTCACCTAAATACTACTCCAAACATACACCCATTTTTACCAGATGCCAACTCCAATGGCAAACAATAATAAAATTACCCTCCTCTATTTGGATCAAATTAGCTGTTACTTTGGATAGGCAAATAGGCATGTGGTTATTCCCACGGTTGCGATCAACACAGTCAGGAGTCATGTCTCTGCTGACAAGGCAAAACCAAGGACAGATTTCAATACTGAACATGATTTAAGTTCAAATTACATAAAACCAAAATGATTACCATTTGTGTTTTCCCTTAATATTTCCATCCAGACATCCCCTCAAGTTCGTGAAACTGATAGGCTATTTCTGTGTTAAATGGTAAGGGCCTATTATCTTCTTTTTTTTTTTTTTTAACTGTGAATAAATTTTAGTAAATGTACAGTCATGCAACTACCACCACAATCACGTTTTAGAACACTTCCATCACCACCAAATTTTCCTCGAGCCCCTTTGTAATTAATCCTCATCCCTTCCTCATGCCCCAGGAAACCAGTTTTGCCTTTTCTAGAATTTCATGTAAATGGAATCATACAGAACAGTATATATTTTTTTTCTTGATCTTTTTACTTAATACGATACTTTTGAGATTCATCCATGTTGTTGTATCAGCACTCCATTCTTTCTAGTTGTTACTAATCCATTGTATATCATCATTTTCTTTTTTTATCTGTACATCAGTTGATGGGCATTTGGATTGTTTCCAGTTTGGGACTATCATGAAATAATGATACTATGAACATTCATGTATAAGTCTTCCAGTGGACGTATGTTTTCATTTCTCTCAGTAAATACCTAAGAGTGGAATTGCTGGGTCATATAGTAAGTGTATTTTAACATTTTAAGAAACTTCATTTTTTGAAATGGCTATATCGTTTTGCATTCCCACCAGCACTGTATGAGATTTCCAGTTGCTCCACACTGTCACCAATTCTTCTTATTTTTAGTCTTTAAATCTTACCAACTCTAGTGTGGGTATAGTGGCACCTCATTGTGGTATTAAGTTGCATTTCGCTGAGAATCTTTTCATGTGCTTTTTGACCATCCATATAGTTTCCTTTGTGTGGTATCCAAGTATTTTTCTCATCTTATTATTGGATTGCTTTATAATTGAGCTGTAAGAGAATTTTATATTGTCTGGATACAAGTCCTTTTTCAAATATATGCCTTATAGGTATTTTCTCTTTACCAATGGCTTACCTTTTCATTTCCTGTGTTTTTGATAAGCTAATGTTTTAATCTTTATGAAGTCCAACTTACTATTTTTTCTTTTATGATTCATGCTTTTTGTATTCTATGTAAGAAACTTTTACTTGATTCAAAGTCACAAAGATTTTCTCCTAAATTCTTCTAGAATATTTATGGTGCTAGCTCTTAGATTTAGGCCAATGATCTGGGGGTTTTTTTTGTTTGTTTGTTTTATTTTTTTTATTGGGGTATAGTTGTTTTACAATGTTGTGTTAGTTTCTACTGTACAGCGAAGTGGAATTCCCTGTGCTATACAGCAGGTTCTCATTAGTTATCTATTTTATACATATTAGTGTATATAGGTCAATCCCAATCTCCCACTTCATCCCACCCCCACCCTTTCCCCCCTTGGTGTCCATATGGCAATGATCTGTTTTGACTTAAATTTTGTGTATGTTATGAGGAAAAGGTTTAAGTACCTCTCTTAATGTCGATATCCAATTATTCCAGCATGATTTATTGAAGACTATTTCCTACCTTGGTAACTTTATCAAAACTCAATTGACCATGTCAGTGTGGGTCTGTTTCTGGACCCTCTGTTGCATTAATCCATGTGTCTATCCTTATGCCACTACCAAACTGCCTTGATTATTGTACATTTTACGGTTAAGTCCTAAAATCAGGTAGAATAAGTCCTCCAACTTCATTCTTTTTAAATATTGCCTTGGCCATTCTAGATCCTTTGAAGTGCTGCATTTTCAATATGCTTTAATGTTATTTAATGCTACACAGTTTTATAGACAAAGAAGCCACAGACACATAGAGGTCTGAACAATTTGTCTGACTTTACAAGGTTGGGTTTCCTGTCTCTTTGTGGCCACAACTCACTTTCCTACTGGAATGTCAGCTTCATAAGAGCAGGGACTGTGTATATTTTATTCACCACTGAATCCCCAGTAAAGCAGTGCTTGTGGTAGGTTTTCAACAAATATGTGTTGAACAGAAGATATCTTCATGCTTAGAATGATTAGAACGACAGACTAATAATACAGTTAATAATGTCTTCCTGGCCAGGATTTCATATTTCTTCCCACCCATTCAATAAACACCGAGTTCCTTGAACAGACAAGGCACATAGTAGATTCTCTATAAATACCTGTTTAAGGAAATAAAAGAAGAAAGACATACAATAATGGGGAAAGGGAAGAGAGAGAGAGGGATAGAACAGACTGTGATAGGTAGTGAGGGGAAAAAAAAGATAAAAGCAATGCCTAGCCTAAAAGAGCTCAGAGTCTAAAGAATAAGAATTTAAAGGGACTGAAATAATCAAGGTAATTAAAACTGTTAGAGGAACACAAAGGAAAGAAGCATTCCCTCTGTAGAGGGGAGTCATGGAAAGCTCCAAGGAGCAGGGGACACTAACCAGCTGGGTCTTTCAGATCTGTAATAACACAACTGAAAAGTGTAGAAGAAAAAAGCTGAAGGAAAAGGGAAAGTGGAAGGGAATATTCTTGGCAAAGGGTGAAGGAAGAGAGTACCAAAAAGTGATGCCCAAAAGAGTGGTTGAAGCCAAACCATGGAGTCTGAGCTTGAACCTATAAGCAACAGGGAGTCTAAGATTTTAGCCATAAGAACAAGATCTAATCAGTGTTTCAGAAAAATAACTCTAGGCACAGCACAAAGGATGAGTTTGCATAAAACTGGTG